TGTTTAAAACTTTTTATTGAAGTTTAACGTATACACATAAAAATGCATACACCGTTGGTGCTTAGCTTGACAAATTCTTCCCCATGTAACTGGTACTCAGATTAAAATCCAGCACATTATAGGACCTCTAAAGCCCTCTCTTGTGCCTCTCAAAGCTTAATTTTAAGCTCTTTCAGGGCAGGGCTAAAATTATCTTTTTAGCTTGTTTAGATGTACTATCAAGACATGCCCTATCAGTGTCTCTTATCATTGTCCTGAATGATCAACAAGATCTCTGACTCTGGTTAGTCAGAACTTGAAGGATTCCTAGACTTGTGTGAGCTCTGATAACAGTTCATCATATAGTTTCCTGTCAGAGTTTTACCCTATGTATGGGCAGATTAGTCTTTGGTAGGTTTGTCGATTCGGGTTTCTGGAGCTCTTCGGCTGAATAGCTCCCTCGTATCTGATACTCTCACCTGCAAATTTAAACCATTTTCTCTTTAAACTGTTCTTTAACCTTTTAGCTCTCCAAGACTGTTGTGCTTTGCTGGGGGGAATTCTCCTTCTAGTACCAGTATCCAGAAATGCCTCAAGGCAGAAAGCCAGTGGGCCTCACCTCACTGGCTTCCTTTGACTCAGGGATCACAATCTTGTCTTGTCTGCTGTCCAACATGTGAAAACAGCTGTTTTCATATTTGTCCAGAGTTTTAATTGTTAATTGTGAGAGGATTAATCCAGTTCCAATTATTCCATTATGGCTGGAGAGCAGTGGTGCAACCACAGCTCACTGCAAACTTGAATTCTTGGCCTCAAGCAATCCTCCCACCTCAGACTCCCAAAATGCTGGGATTATAGGTATGAGCCACCATGTCTGGCCCAAAGCCTCTTTTAATAAAGTTTCCAGCATAGATGTTTTACAAGATTTCATCTACCATAATAACCCAATCCATATGTGCCTTCCAATCTTCCACCTATCTATTCAGTGGCTGCTAGATCCTTGGAAAACAAAGATACATAAAACTCAATCACTGCTCCCCCCAGAAACTCACAAGTAAAAGGGAAATGGGTAATAAATTAGTACAATTACACAAGGTACACAAGGGGGTGTAGGGACATAGAGAAAGATATGGTCTAATCTATGTGTAGATCAGGAAAGATTCTGTGTGTGCACGGGCATGTGTGTGTGCGTGCACGTATGCATGTGTTTGTGTGTGTGTGAGAGATTAACTACTTGAGAGCAGGTCTTGAAGAATGAGTAAGAGATTAACAGATGAGGTTAAGACATTTGGGACAAAAGAAACTCTGTACACAAAGCATAAAGTTATGAAACAACATGTAAATTTAGGACAACTATTAAAAGTTCTGAAAACTTACAGTACAGAGTTTAAAGCAGGGAGGGGAAAGAACTAAAACTATGGAAAAACAGAAACAGGAGGATATCATGAGGGGGCCTGAACGCCACGCTGATCACAATTCACATCTGTAGTTCATCATTATCAGCTACTATCTATCGTGCTGATAGGATATATGTTTTAAATATATTATCTACATTACATTTAATTCTCAAACAACCTTATATGGAAATTAGGGCTTAGACAGCTTAAGTAATTTTGGCCAAGATCACATGGACACTAAGTGAGGAAGCAAGGATGTGAAAACAGGTCTGTTTGATTTCAAAGGGAACTTGCCTTGAATCTCTAGGTAATGGGAAGTTATAGGAGAATTGCCTATGTCCTTAAATTTTTTTTGAAAAATTACATTCACTGATGGAACAGTTTTAGGTAGGCAGGAGATACAGTTTATGCTTTTAGAAAGGTCACTCTGGAGCATGAGGAGGAAGGATTGGAGGGATGAGGCTGGAGTCAGATGAGCCAGCTGGTAATAATGCAGAAGGAAAACAAAAGCTTAGATTAGGTGGTGTTTAGGAGAGATGGGGAAGAGGATGTGGATCTGCCAAATGTTTAAGAAGCAGAATCTGTCAGAGTAAACACATAGCTTCAGCAAAATGGGAGATTTTGAGGTCAATGATGGATAGCCTGAGGCACTAAAATTACCAGGTCCTATGCCAAATGCAGGGGACACAAAGACGGGCAGGGCATGATTTCTCCTCTGGATAGCCCATGTAGCATCACAGAATCAAAGCTGTGAATTCCATCGAAATACAGTAAATACCTTACAGGCCACATCTCCCTCCATTACAGTCTTCAGAATCCTTAATGAGTATAGAGGCCCAAGCTGGAAACCACTGCTGTAGAACATTCTCAACCCTGTTACAAACCAGCTTGCATACAGGAGGTCCCATTTGTGCAGGCTGAGACTGTCAGGACATGGAGGTTATTAACTGTCCCCCAATCTTGCCTATAATTATCAGCAACAATTTTATTAAAAACAAATGCAGGTACCATTTCTTGAATGCTGACAACATGCAAGTACTGTGCCAAGCATTTGATAATCATTACCGTAAGTATTTGCCACAATAATCCTCAGAGCAGGCCTGGTACTCCTCTTTTAATGTGGAAAACTGAGGCTCAAAGAGGGAAAATAACTCACCCAAGTTACTTTGGTTCCCCGAGACTACTTCATTTATCATTTAAAAGGCATCTTAGAATCTGCCATCTTCAGAAAGACTCCATTATTCTCCCCAAATTTTGTTACTCTCTCTCCTAGGCCCTTCTGTGCCCGATTGCTATTTCCCTGTGGTCCCTATTATGCTATACTGTAATAGATACATAATTGATGTATCTGTTTCCCTTACTGACATACAATCTTTGAAGATCTGCTTTCTCTTTGCTGCTCAGTGGCAGCACAGGGTCAGAACAGTGCAGGTGGGACCAGTCAGTCCACTCCATGCTTTCTGAGCTGCCAGTCACTCATCTCATGCTCCCCAGGGCCTTTGGCTATTTCCCGCACCTAACAGACCTCAGGTTCACTTCCCACGTTCACTAGGCAGTTGCCAGGTTCATACCTAAGATATCCGTGGCTTCAAGAGGTGTATGTCCACTGAAAGGAAACAGGGATGACAGCCTCAGATTTCTTGGACCAAAAGAATTCAAATTATATCTAGTAGTCCCTAGGGTAACAACCATGTACCCTGTCCTGACATGATGCTTATACCTCACAGGTCCTCATGCCTGTCTGACACTTAAATTTTTCCTAAGTTCTGTCATCTCTTGCTGTCTCAGAGGGAGGCGGGATACACAGAGTAGAGGCAGCATAGACTGGAGGTTCAATCTCAGCTGTGCCCCTAATCACCTACAGGATTTAAGGAAAGGCACATGTGAGGTTCTCTCCTTTCTGTAGAAAGGAGAGATCACCTGTTCCACAGGGCTACAAAACTAACTGAATGACATCCTGAATGTGGAAGACACCTAGTAGGGCAGAGGGGCCACGTGGCTCTCTGGACCCACAGGGTTGAGTTCATGCCTTGGCTCCACCTCTCTCTAGCTCTGTGGGTCAAGTGCGAGTAAGGGAAAAGACCATCCTCAGAGTGGCATGAAAAGTAAATGAGAGGTCAGTGATGGGAGCTCAGTGCAGTAAGCCAGCGAATGGCAGCCACTGCTGAATTATAAGTGGAGCACTGCTGTAGAACACAAATGACTCCCCCAGAATCTCACAGTGGGTTAGGTGTAGAGAAGTTTGAAATCCTGTTATGGCTGGGCACAGTGGATCATGCTTGTAATCCCAGCACTCTGGGAAGCTGAGATGGGCGGACTGCTTGAGCCCAGGAGTATGAGACCAGCTTGGGCAACACAGCAAGACCCTGTCTCTACAAAAAGTAGCTGAGCGTGGTGGCATGCGCCTATAGTCCCAGTTACTCGGGAGGCTGAGGTGGGGGATTCATTGAGCCCAGGAGGCAAAGATTGCAGTGAGCTAAGATAGTGCCACTGCACTCCAGCCTGGGCGACAGAGCCAGAAGCTATCTCAAAGAAAAAAAAAAAAGTAAAGAAATTCTCCTGCAAGACATTCATCACCAAACATCAATCCTTTCAGAACAGCTACCCACAGGGTGCCACTGGGGCTCCTGGCAGTGATGGGGCACCAGCGCCCACCAGGTAGAACACTCCCCTGCCCAGGACACCAATCCTGGCCCCACATGAGCACCACATGGCCAGAAACAATGACCCCTTTCATTCTGGAAGTCAGGATTACTCTACAGATCTTCTTGCAGGCAGAGCCATGGAGGCCAAAGCAGAAACAGCAAAACCACCCTTGCCTGTGAGGCCCAATCGTCATTAGCATGGACAAGGGGAGAATGGGTCTACCTCACACAGCTGCCTACAGGGCAGCTCCAAGTAGGAATGGGAGACAGGCGTGGAGGCACAAGTCAGTGTGGCAAATGTGGCAGCCAGTTACTTTTTGCGCAATAGAACCCACATTCTGTGTAGACCTGAGGCAACAAAGTACACTGTGGAGGACACAGCCATACTGAGAGCACTGGCATCTGGCACTGTATGCAGGGAAAAGGCTGGTTGATGATGGTCTAGGAAAAAGATATAGGTCTGAAGTACCCCAAATTGTTCACACTGAAAACCCCACCAGTTGCCTTCTTGTCATTACTTGGAGGAAGCGATCCTGGTATCTAGAAGTGGCAATGTGCTGGGGAGAGGTGGCAAGACCCTCAGACTCCCACAGAAAGAGGAGAGGTCTAAGCACAAAGGTCACTTCACAATCTTTCTGATGAAAGTGAAAGAGCAAAATTAGAGTCAAAAAATAAACCACCTTCTAACTTTTTTTTTTTTTTTTTT